CTTGAATGACTTCATTAACCTCGAAAAAACTTCAATTCTTCCTTTGTAAAATAGAGACAATAATTTAGTTTTCCTTTGAGTTGTTGTAGGAAAAAAAAAATGAAATAATGTCTATAGAAGAGCCAGCATTGGACAATGGGTGGCATGGTGGTCAAGGTGCTGGACTCCCACATGGTAAATTGGGGTTTGAGTCCTGAACCTAACAGCTTGCTTTTTCAATCCCCCCCACACCATGAGCACATGTGTCCTATAGCAAAATTAAAAATAAATAAATTAAATTATATTTTTAAAAATTCTAAAAAAGAGCCAGCACTATCTGGTACACATAGTAAACTGCTATTGCTGTCATTATCATCATAAATCATTGTACATGTTCATTTTGGCCTGTCTGTAAATAACACAATTGAAGTTCTTTTTTTTTGACCTTTTGAGGTGTCTATGAGGAAATAGAAATATGCAGTAAATAATATAAACATGTATGTTTGTATTAAAAATTATTTTATTTCATTTCATTTATTATTATCATTATTATTTTGTTTCTAACTTGACCAGAGAGAGACAGTGGGTGAGTGAGGAGTGAGAAAGCAAGCCACCAGGGCCAGGATTCCAACCATGGTTGGTCATATGGGAGTCCAGCGCCTTTAACCACCACACCACTTGCTGGCCCCATATATGTATGTTTTTCTAATATATACATGTGGTATGGGTGTGACTTTTCTTTTGGTAATTAAATCTGTACTTTGGTATTGAGTCAGAAGAAAGATATTTGAAAAATCAAAGTGGCTTTCTGACCGCACAGCTGGCTGCCAAGATGGCGCCGCAGAAAGACAAGAAGCCTAAGAGGTCAACCTGGAAGTTTAATTTGAACCTTACTCATCTAGTAGAAGACAGAATTTTTGACTCTGGAAATTTTGAAGAGTTTCTGTGGGAAAACGTTAAAGTCAATGGGAAAACTGGCAGCCTTGGAAACGTAGTTCACATTGAATGCCTCAAGAATGCAATCACAGTTGTTTCTGAGAAACAGTTCTCTAAAAGGCATTGGAAATACCTCACCAAGTAATACCTTAAGAAGAACAACCTTCATGATTGGCTTCGTGTGGTTGCATCTGACAAGGAGACTTATGAACTTCGTTACTTACAGAATAGTCAAGATGAAGAAGGGTCAGAGTCTGAGGACTAGTTGAAGCCTCGCCTTACTGGGCTTTGCTTACTAAGTAAAACAGAGAGGATACATGAGAGAGAATCATCTGGAAATAGACTTTTAGTTTATGAATGAATAAAAATCACTGCTTGTAAAAAAAAAAAAAAGAAAAGAAAAATCAAAATGATTATGTGGAAAGGTTTATGTAAGCCGTGAAGGCCAGATTTCAAAGATTACTGCAGCTATCACGGGTAAGATGATCTTAGTTGAGGAAGTATAAGCAAACAAATAAGGCCAGCTATCAAGAGCAGCAGAGAGCACCCACCAAACTATAGAAGCTATCAATACGGAATGATTACAGGTAATAAAAGTTTTGTCAAGATTATTGTCCTATCTTCTGAATTCTAACATAATCAGTACTAAAACCTTCAAATAAGAAAGATTACTGATAGTTAAGAAAACTCTCTTAAAAAAAAGAAAGAGCTTTCTTCCAATCCTGTAGTGCTGTGGGCCTTCAGGTTGGCTGCGGCCACAGGTCTCTGTTCCGCAGGATGGGATTTGTTAAAGTTGTCAAGAATAAGGCCTACTTTAAGAGATATCAAGTGAAATTTAGAAGACAACGAGAGGGTAAAACTGATTACTGTGCTCAGAAACGCTTGGTGATCCAGGATAAAAATAAGTACAGCACACCCAAATACAGGTCGATAGCTCGTGTAACTAACAGAGATGTCATTTGTCAGATCGCTCATGCTCGTATAGAAGGGGATATGATAGTCTGTGCAGCTTACGCACGTGAACTACCTAAATACGGTGCGAAGGCTGGCCTGACAAATGATGCTGCAGCATATTGTACTGGCCTGCTGCGGGCCCACAGGCTTCTCAATAGGGTTGGCATGGACAAGATCTATGAAGGTCAAGTGGAAGTGACCGGAGACAAGTACAATGGAAAAAGCATCGATGGTCAAACTGGTACCTTCACCTGCTATTTGGATGCAGGCCTTGCCAGAACTACCACTGGCAATAAAGCTTTGGGGGCCCTGAAGGGAGCAGTGGATGGAGGTCCATCAATTCCTCACAGTACCAAACGATTCCCTGGTTATGATTCTAAAAGCAAGGAATTTAATGCAGAAGTCCATCGGAAGCACATCATGGGCCAGAACGTTGCAGATTATATGCATTACCTGATGGAAGAAGATGAAGGTGCCTACAAGAAACATTCAGTACATAAAGAACGATGTAACTTCAGAGATGGAGGAGACGTAGAAGAAAGCTCACACTGCTATATGAGAGAACCCAGTCTATGAAAAGAAACCCAAGAAAGAAGTTAAAAAGAAGAGGTGGAATCATCCCAAGATGTCCCTTGCCCAGAAGAAAGATTAGGTAGCCCAGAAGAAGGCAAGCTTCCTCAGAGCTCAGGAGCGGGCTGCTGAGAGCTAAACCAAACAATTTTCTATGACTTTATTCACGATAAAAGATATTAAGCTACAACAAAGCAACCAAAAAAAAAAGAAAGAAAGAAAAAAAGAAAGATTACTGAATCTTGATGCTTAACTTCTATTTTTAATTTCTTCTTTTTTTTTTCATTGCCAAGGGGCACATGTGTTCACCAGAGACAGAGAGACAGGGAGAGAGAGAGAGAGAGAGGAGAAAGCACCCTCCAATCTGTGCTCATGCCACAATCCCTTCTCTTCCATTCCTCCGTCCCATCGGGATTTTGGACATATATGTGCACATGCCAGGTGTGTTTTTCAAGTTGCCTGGACTTGAGCACTGGTTGACTATGGGGGGAGCTAATTTCCCTAACCACTAGGCAACAGTGCCAGATCTTAAGCTCTACTTTTATAAGACTGGAGTACCATGGCTCCAAGGGCTAGCAGTGCAAGAATATCTTGTTATTTTTACAGTTCTTTGAATAAGTAAGCTTCTTAAATGCAAGACCTTAGAGTCATATGCATTTGAATCCAATGTGTTCCAAGTAAAAGTTACCTATTAATCGAGTCATAATTATTTAGAAATAGTGCTACAGTAGTCTGTCAGACCATTGAGAGAAAGGTCGAAAATAGCCTATTAGAGGGACTAGCAGTTAGCATAATGGCTATGTTGCTGGACTCCCACGCAGTCGACCATGGTTCGAGTTCTGGACCCGGTGGCTTAAACTTACACCGGGTGCGTGTGTGTGTGTGTGTGTGTGTGTGCGCGGGCCCAAGATCCCAAGGGGAGAATGGAGGAGAAGGGATTGTGGCATGGCCATCTCCCCACTGAGGGTGATTTTCTGCTTTCTGTCTCTCTGACTCTCTCTCTGTCTGCCGAGCACACGCGCCCTATAGCAACACCTCTCCCCCCCCCAAAAAAAAAAGAGAAAGAAAAAGCCTTATTAGAGACTTTCATTATATAATGCATTTTATAGCATTTCATTATTTGTGTCACTTACATTCTCAAAATTCAACGAAGCAGCACTCCTTAAGTGTCCTTTAAAGATGAGAAACATCTAACGTGGAATGGTCAAGTTTCTTAAAGAGTGGGTCATCTCCAAAATGCCTCCGTGCTCCAACATGATGGGATTGTAACTAAAAGTGAAATAACTCACCTTCTTTGCAGAGCTGTAAATGTCTTCCCGGTTACTGCAGTCGACTACAAAGGCATGGGCCTTGGCCCCCAGTTTCCTGCATTCAGCGGCTGTTTCCTCAATTCCATGCTAGGAAAAGCAACAGAAAAGGCGAAAGAACAAAATTAACAACAGGCACCTCAATACCAAATTTCAACAGCTGGCAGTAATGAGAGAGAGAGCCTTGTAACGGAAATTGGCCAAGAATTTAACGGACACACATTTGGGGGAAGGCTACAGGCACCTTTTGCTCTCGGTTTTTAACTGACATTTTATTGGCTATGTGAAAGGCAGCCTCGTCAACCACTAGGCCACAGGGCTGGCCCTGGGGTTATTAATGTCAAGTTACCTTAAGTTCAGGGTCATACCATAGGAGTTTGTTTTTATTTTTTGCTTGTTTGCTAGCTTTTGATTGATTTTTAAGTTTTTAAGTTTTTAAATTTAAGTATTTTTTTCTAGTTTTTAAACCATTTTAGTTTAAGATATTTCAAAAGACATCTTGGATAGAGGTCTAATCTGTGAACTTTGCAAACCACAAAATGGCCAGGTGATGGACAAAGGACAGACCCCAGGTGAACGCACACCTTTATCTACAGAGAAGAACCCCATTGTACACATTTGCTAGAAAACAACAACTAATGCTGCAGAAGAACTAAATCTGGACAGCCATGGGAAGAATTAGCATATTGTGTCGTAAGCTTGCTATGGGGTGTTTTCCTTTCATTCCGATCTCCCCACCAACCAGAGTACTCAATAATAAGGAACTCTTACTCCTCTAGGGACAGCAAGGTCTTGAGTAAACCTCACGCTGCCTTCTTGTACCTAAGCGGCAGCTTTTAGCACCTCCTCTCTCTCTCTTATTTTTTTAGATTTTAGCCATAGGGCACGTACACTTGCCAGAGAGAGACACAGAGAGAGAGAGGAGAGAGGGGGAGAGGGGGAGAGAGAGAGAGTGAGAGATCACCCTCAGGGGGGAGTGGCCATGCCACAATCCCTTCTACATTCCCCTCTTGGAATTTTGAGTGGGCACACAAGCACAGGGGCCCGGCATATTTTTTTCAAGCAGCTGGGTCCAGGACTCCAATGGCTGAGTTGGCCATGTGGGATCCAGCACCTTATCGGTCACACACCTGTTACCCTCCCCACCCCCCAGCCCCTGCTTAGAAATTTTTTTTAGAGTTAAGAATCCAGAAAAAATACCAGCAGAGTTAAACATTTTGTTGTTGTTGTTGTTTTAAATTTGCACTTGTCAGAGACAGATGAGGAGGGGTTGGGATAAAGTATCTCCCATTAAGGGGTGGTCCCACCACCATCATTTATCCATTTCTCTCTTGTTTTGAGATTTTGAGCACTTACATACCTGTGCCCAGCATATTTTCAAGTTGCAGGGTTCAGGATTTGAACTGGGGGGCTCCTAGCGCTTTCCTTTAACAGTACATTTTATTGGCAAACCTCTGGTTGTCAAGGCAGCTGATCACACGGTGCCAACCATGAAGTTTGAGTCCTGGTTCTGGAGGCTTAAAAAACACACTGGGTGCATGTGCATGAGTGCCTAAAGTCCCGACAGGATGGAAAAATGGAGAATGGATTTCGAATGTGACCATGCCTTTGGGGGGATGCTTTCTCCTCCTTCTCTCTCTGGCAAGCTAGCATATGTGGCCCTCTGGTAATAAATTTTTTCAATATGTTTTATTTATCTGTTTATTTTGAGAGAGATTTTTGCTATAGGGTGTGTACACTTGCTGGAGAGTTAGAGAGAGAGACAGACAGAGAGACAGAAACGAGAAATCATCCCCAGGGGGGAAATGACCATGTTGCAATCCTTTCTTCTCCATTCTAGTCTTGGCATTCTGGGTATACACGCACACACGCCCAGTGTGTTTCAAGCCTCTGGGTCTGGGACTAAAACTGTGGTGGACCATGTGGGAGTCCAACAACATAACCACTATACCACCTGCTGCCCAAGTATATTTTATTAATATATTTCTTAAAAGGAGTGAAATTCTGACATATACTTCAACAACTCTGAGGACATTATGCTAAATAAACTAAGCCAGACACAGGGCCAGCAGGTAGCATAGTGGTTAAGGTACTCGACTCCCACTTTGCTAACCATGGTTTGAATCCTGGATCTGGTTGCTGCAAAATCACACCTGGCTTGTGTGCGTTTGTGCCCAAAATCCCAGGAGGAGAATGGAGGCAAAGCGACATCCCTGGGGTGTAATTTCTCACTTTCCCTCTCACTGTCTGTCTGTCCATCTCTTTCTCTGTCTGGTGAGTGCACATGCCGATGGCAAAAACCTTTTAAAAAAAAGCTAGGTGCGAAAGGATAAATATTGTATAATTCTGTTTATATGAAGTACCTAGAGTATCCACAGAGACAGAAAGTAGGATGGTGGTTGCAGGAGCTATGTGAGACGGAGCTGGGAAGTTACTGTTGAACAGGTACAGAATTTTGGTTTGCGAAGAGGAAAACTTCTGGAGAGAGATAGTAGTGATCATTACATAATAATATAAATGTACTTAATGCCACTGAGCGGTACACTTCCGAATGGCTTAAGTGATAAATTTTATGTTATATATATTTTACCTCACATTTTTTGAGATTAGCAGGTGGCATAATGGTTATATCACTGGATTTCCACATGGTCAAAAGTAGTTCGAGTCCTGAACACGGAGGCTTGAAACTCATGCTGGGTACCTGTGCGTGGGTGCTCCAAATCCCAAGAGAATGGAGGAGAAAGGGTTGCGGTGTGGCCATCCCCCCCTCTCCCCCGGGTGGTGATTTATCCCTTTCTGTCTCTCTGTTTCTCAGGGAATGTATGTGCCCTATAGCAAAAATCTCTCTTAAAAAAGGTTTTTTAAGAAAAGTATATTGTATTGCTGTTTTAGGTCTTTATTTAAAATGTTATTTCGGACAAAATCCCTCTAAATACATTTTACAATAAAAACCCACTTTCCATTCACTCCATCTTAGAGACGTGCTTGCCACGGGTCGGCTGTGCAGCCACCTGTGGCCAAGGGTGTGGAGGTTCAGGTGCCTTCCGCTTTCGCTGGCTCACCTTTGCCCCGTTTCTCCAGTCTTCCTCGTCTAGGTCCAAGGTCTGCTTTCCAATCTCTGCTCTGTGCAATACATTTACGTTCTAGATTCCTCCAAGATACACTTCAGATAGCCCCACATTCATTTGGTAAGAAATTAGAAGTAAGCAGACCTTTAGGGTTAAAATTTTTCTCTACACAGTGGAATTGCTCAGAATTCGTTAAGATTTCTCTTGGGGACCTTCTGCTAACACGTTAGACTCAGTTGTCACATATTTTTTACTTTTATAATTATTTTTTTAATTGCCGGAGGGTGCATGTGCTAGCCAGAGAGAGTGAGAAAGCCCCCTCCCCCAAGGGGTATGTCACACCACAATCCTTTTTCTCCCATTCCTCCTTTCTGTCAGGACCTTGGGCACACCTACATATGCATCAATGTTTCTCAAGTGTCCAGGGCCAGGATTTGAACTGCAGTTGGTCACATGGGATCCAGCTTCCGATGCACTACGCTTAACCACTGCACTGTGGAGCCAGCCCCAGTTACACTTTAATCCTGGTTCTCCTTTAGTTTTTACTTATCACTTGTTGCCCCGCATTATCACAAGTAAAACCCTTCCCCCAATTATATAGATTGTCAAAAATTTAAATGTTTGGGGACAGCAGGTGGCGTGGTGGTTGAGGTGCTAGACTCCCACAGGGCCCGCCGTGGTTTGAGACCCAGACCTGGTGGCTTACTTTCTCTCTCTCATTGGTGTGCACACATGCCCTGTAGCTGATTAAAAAATGATAATGATGATAAATAAAATAATTAAAAATTTTTAAATGTTTTCCTGATTCTTCACTTTTTTAAAAAATTTAATTTACTTTTTCATTCTGAAGTCTTTTTTTTTTTTAAGAGAGGTTTTTGCTATAGGGCACGCACACTCACCAGAGAGACAGAGACAGCAAGTGAGATGACCATGCCGCAATCCCTTCCCCTCCATTCTCCTCTCAGGATTTGGGCCATGCGGCATGTCTGCACATGCGTCTGGCCTGAGGTTTAAGCCACAGAGTCCGAGACTCGATCCATCATGGACTGTGTGGAAGCCCAGCGACATAACCATTATGCTATCTGCTGGTCCCCATTCTAAAGTCTTTAAGTAAGTGTGTACTGTGTGTTCTCCACTCCCTATGAGTTCATCGTTCCAAGCTATCTAATCAGGCATAGGGATGAGAATGGTACAGAAGTGATTATCTATACAAAGTCCAGTGATTAATCCATGGTACAGTCCCACAGGACCACAAAGCTGAAGCCCTCGCTGTTCTTTCCTAAAGTAACATTGCTTTTCTGTAGCCTTAACGATGAATAGAAAGATGCTGGGCTGTGCCCGTAGTGCAGCAGTTAGGTGCTGTTCACTGGGAGCTAGATCCCACATGGCCAACCACAGTTCAAATCCCAGGCCTGGCGTCTTGAGAAACATACCAGGCATGTGTGTGTGCATGCCCCAAACCCTGACAGCATGGAGAGCAATGGAGGAAAATGTAGTACAGTGTGGCCAAGCTCCATCGAGGGGTGCTTTCTCTCTGTGTGTCAGGCAAACGCTCATGTCCTCCGGCAATTAAAACAAACAAAAGAAGACGTCAGTCCCTGGCATCTGGAGATTGAGATATAATATTTGGATACAGAGTTCATCTGAGAAGTTGGCCCTAGGAATGATCTATCTTTGTACCCCAGGTGAAAAGCACTTACCTGGCCCCCTCCCAACCCCTCCAGCCTGATCTGACAACAATCTTAAACTGCACTTTCTCTCTCATTCTCCACATAGTAGCCAGCCCGAGAGTTCTATGTCCTGGGGTCTTTGCCGTGGAATGCTCCAAACTCAGACCATACCGTTCCCCAGTCAGGTTTGGTGGTTCTCAGACTCTGTCCATTTAAAAGTTATAAAATCCTAAGAAAAATTGAGTGTGTATACTGAACTGGGGTTGCCAACTTTTTATTTGCCCAAATAAGAACATTCAAACGAACAACTATTGCATACTATCACGGTCATTTCTTTCCTTCTTTGTTTTAGTAGCCAGAGGGTGCGTGAACTCCCCAAGAGAGGTGGGGGAGGAGGGCAGAAAGCACTCCCGACAGGGCATGGCCATGCTGCAGTACTCTCCCCTCCCTCTTCTATCCTGTCAGGATGCCCAGTGCATTGTTTTCAAGTCCCCATGACAGGATCCCAACCACTTGCAGCCATGTGGGGTCTGGCTCTCTTGCCCTTAACCACTGGGATATGGGATCAGCCCCTATCATTCTAACTTCATTAGAAACACACACACACACACACACACCACACACACACACACACACACACACACATATATATATATATATATATACATATATATATATATATATACACACCCGCCCTGGGTAAAAATTACATCGAAGTTCTATTTGTTTTTCTTTTTGACTGTTTTCACTCAGAAATGATTTTAAAAATTGACTCTTGGTTGGGACCAGCAGTTACGTAATGGCTATGTCGCTGGACTCCCATGTAGTCGACCATGGTTCGAGTCCCGGACCCGGTGGCTTAAACTCACGCCGGGCGTGTGTGCGTGCGTGCCCAAGATCCCGAGAGGAGAGTGGAGGAGAAGGGATTGCAGCGTGGCCATCCCCCCTGGGGGGTGATTTCCTGCTTTCTATCTCTCTGTCTCTCTCTGTCTGTCTGGCGAGCGCACGTGCCCTATAGCAAAAACCTCTCCAAAAAAAAAAAAAAAAGTTGACTCTTGGCAATAACTGGCAGAATAGCATTGCTTTTTGTTGGAGGTAATTTTTTAAACCACTTACCTCCGTAACAGAAAGTAGGACTTTCTCATAACAGGTACAAGCGTCGTACTCTTTTAATACACTAGCTAAAACTATCACTTTTCCCCATGACTAAGATACAGGGGCCAGTGAAATCGGGTTCAGGAGGAGAAGGTGAAGATTGATTCACAATGTCAAGTTAGCGACAGACAGTGACAGGAATCTTATAGCCTCCGGGTCCTTTCATCATGTGATCTTAATCACGTTAGTTAATTCGTGTGACCCCCAGCTGTACAATGGCAATTGGACTCTCCCCCCCCAACACACACTTTATATACAGATGCTGGGAGGTATCAGATGCTGGCTAAATGCAGACCTGCCCGCAGATTAAAGGTACCAGAAAGTGAAACACGATTACCTTATTTATATCCCAGAGAACCAGTTTGCTTTTAAGTTTGGCAAATTCATAGGCAGTCAGTCTCCCAATGCCATGCCCAGCTCCCGTAATCAGCACGATTTCTCCGGAGACCGATTTTCTCTTCTTTGGAATAAAAAGCTTCACCAAAGACTCTAAAGAGCAGAGGATTAGGTAGGGCAGAAGCAGGAGGCAGTTCAGAAGGAATTTCATCCTGTTCTTTGCCGCCAGCTCCGGGAGCTGTCCTTGGCCAGCCTCTCTAAAACGCCCGCAGCGGGGTGACCGATCCAACACCCCGGAGAGTAAATGCACAGAAGGAAGAGATCCTTCATCAAAGAGAAACAAACAACTCCCAGACCGTTCCTTCCGCTGGGCTGGGCTTTGCAAGGGCTTTTGCAATTGGCTCGGGCTGCAGCGCGAAGCGACATGCTCGCTGGCTCAGAAATCTGGGAGGGACAAAAGTCGCGATCAGGGCAAGACTTCCTCCTTCTGCTTTGCGCAGCCCCCGGGAGGTGTGTGCGGCCACGATGGCGGTTTGCTCGTGTTCTCCCCGTCTCGGAGGCCGACCTCGGAGAGTGCGTGGCTGGCTCGTTTCCCTCGGTTCCGTCCAGCGCCGTCTCCTACAGGGATGACCCGCTGCGTCCGCAGTCCCGCGGCGGCTGTGAAAGTGGACGGTTGCCCATCACTGGAAAAGGGACACAAATGCGGATTCCTACTTACAGGATCCTGAAAGGGCCAGCTGGGCTGTGCCCGACTCAGAAATGACCCTCCATCACATTTCAGTTGGAACTAAACACAGTTTCTGGAGGACCGAGGAAAGTTTGTCCTTTCAAGGTCAGCGATCTCAAACTCCAAGACAAAGTCTCTTGTTAGAAGGGATTATGTCCACAACGAGGTGTATTTGGATAGCCAGTTTCCACTCTACCTGTTAGAGTTTATCAAGAAAAAAAATTCGTTGCACTTGACTAGTTGTAACTTTATCCAGGCTAATACATCACTTCATTCAGAAGGAACAATAAAGTAGAAAATTACTTTGCCTAAAGATCACTTATGTTTTGGGACCAGCAGTTAGCATAATGGCTAAGTCGCTGGGCTCCCACACAGTCGCTCACGGTTTGAGTCCTGGACCCCATGACTTAAACTAACGCGGGGCGCGTGTGCGTGCATGCCCAAGATCCTGAGAGGAAAATGGAGAAGGGATTGGGGCCTTCAGAGTGAACAAGGGTCTTAAAAGAAAACCAGCAGTAAGAGTGAATTACATTGTTGGTGCTGTTGGGAACCAGAAAATAAATAAATAAATAAAACAACCACAAACAGATATGTTCATTTCTTTTAAGTTTTGAGAATACTTTCTCTGCTGGCCCAAAGATTAAATTTGAGATTTTAAATTGAAGTAACATAAGCTGGGTCCATGTTACACACTGACAAGAGAGATGCATACAGAGCAGACAGACTTTCCATTTACTAATTCCAAAAACGAAATCCAACAGGACCACTCATTTACAAATGGAAGGTATCTGTAATGTGGGGGGGGAAACTGGACTGTTATTAAATTGAAAAACACAAAAGGTATACCAGCAAAGACATTTAGAAAAACTTTCAGTACTGGAAAATACCAATGTAAGCCAAAAGCAAACTCTCACCCTCATAAAAATGAGGAACCATACGTGACTGCTTTAAAATAATAATAATAAAAAACATGATTAAAGGACTCTCCCTACATAATTTAGATAATGTAGTACAGTAGTGTGCTCCTTTATTATTTTAGCTTTTCAGTGTCACTGAGAATGACCGTCACAACTACGACGACAAGGACAGAAATGATACACAGAGTTTTCCTGGGTCTGCACTGGTAACCTGCTGCTCTTGACAGCTGTTGATTTGCTTGTTGAGCGTGTACCTCTGCACTTCCGACACTGGCTTCTGTGCTATCTAACACATCTTCTTGTTTATGAATCATCATTCCCACGTCCTTAAATATTTCACTAATATCCATGTTATCAGCCTAAGTTGCCCGATGGAAGACTCTCTCATGAATAGGGTGGAGATCGTCCTCTGTAATGTCTTCATCCTGCACCAGCACTTGAGGTTGAGTTTGACTTTCCCAGGATACAAGTTCCCTTTCTTTTGAGCTATCCTCTGGAAATCCACCAAATACTCTGGAACTGGCTCCTACTCCAGCAACAAACTCTTTTCTTCTCTCAGCAGCTTGCTTCTGGACCTTTTGGAAGTTTGTCAGTGACCTTGTGAATTCAGCCACTAAGCGATCCTTCTGTGTTTTCCTTCGACGCTGTTCAGTGGGTGTGGTGGGCAGAGATTCAAACTCGAAAGCACTTATCTTTTTCTTTGGCAAGTTGGTTAGCGCTTCTATTGCAGCTGTTGCCTCAATTCATGTGACTCTCTAGGTGTTTCAAGTTGATTGAGAGTCCTTTGTATTTCCACAGGGCATTGTATGATCTGGATATTGGACCAGATGCGGTGAGCCAGCTGGGAGGGGTCCCCACCTACTCCTGGATGTTGGTGGGCTGTGCAGTCTTTCTGAGCAGTCACCCTCACCTCTTGCACTTCCTTCCACCCACAGTCTCCCTATAACAAAATTTAAACAGATAATAATAATACTAATAAATAAAATTAAATAAATAATTCTTAAAAAAAAAAAAAAGGCATTCATGGCCTCTTGCAATGGGATTTAATTAGACAAAAACCCAAAACTCAGACAGACATACTCCAGGACACGCAGGTAATGTAAAAGCATTATTACAAAGACTGGAGTGGGGCAGGGCACTCCCCGATGGGTGGGACTTTCCTGATTCTAGAGGATGAATTCCAAGATATGGATCACCAGGCCCTCAAAGGTAACCGAGTTAGTGACCTTTTCCAAATTAACAGCCTCTGAACAAACCAGTTTCCAATTACCCACCATTACATAGGGTCTCATGACTATGGGACCACCCTAAAGTATAACATACCTATAGGACATGTGACCCCTACCACAAGGAGAATGCAAGCACAAAAAGCCCCTTGTGACTCCTGTCACAAGGGGAATGCATGCACAAGAAGCTCTCTGATTCAGGTAAACACGCTACCCCCACCTCAGCTTCTCTTTGGCAATCTATTTTCTGGGATCCACACCATTCTTGGTAAACTCTACTTTATTATCCTGTCTCTGTGTCTGAGTCTTTAATTCTTTTTTTTTTTTTTGTTTTTGCTATAGGGCGCATGCTCTCGCCAGACAGAGAGAGACAGAGAGACAGAAAGCGAGAAATCATCCCCCAGGAAGGATGGTCACGCTGCAATCCCTTCTCCTCCATTCTCCTCTTGGGATCTGGGGCATGCACACACACGCGCCCGGTGTGAGTTTTTCGCCACCGGGTCCTGGACACGAACAGCGGTCAACTACGTGGGAGTCCAGCGACATAGCCATTACGCTAACTTCTGGTTCCTGAGTCTTTAATTCTTCATAAGCATGAGACAAGAACCTATATTCCATGGGTCTTGGGCCTGATCATCCCTGTACCACTGCATCCCTGTGTCACCCCCATGGGATACGGCCACACTAAAATCCCTTCTCCTCCATCACTCCGTCTCTCTGGGATTTGGGGCACACATGCACATACACCCAGCTTGTTCTTCAAGCCACAGAGTTTGGAATTCCATCTGTGGGATCTCCATGTGGGATCTGGCTTCCCCAACCACTAACCCACAGGACAAGCACACCCCCAACCATGCCTTATTTTTATTTCCCAGTTCAGTTATATATAGTAACTGAATTTGAGTGTTGTGCAAGACAGTCCAGTGTTTGGGAAGGCTTTTGTTTGTAGGAGGCAAACAGTCAACCTTTGCATTTAAGGGCCAGGAAGATAACAAAAAATTGGAGTTCACAGAACATTTGTATTTACTTCTACCTCTTATTTAAGCAGCCCTGCATTGCCATAGAGGCTGGAAAGGTAGTGACAGTTCCACAAAAGTAGAAAAACACTCAAAAATTCTGAGTATCAGCTACAACATTTTTTTTGGAGAGGTTTTTGCTATAGGGCGCGTGCGCTAGTCAGACAGAGAGAGACAGAAAGTGAAAAATCACCCCCCCCCCAGGGGGGATGGCCACGCCACAATCCCTTCTCCTCCATTCTCCTCTCAGGATCTTGGGCACACATGCACACGTGTCCCGTGTGAGTTTTAAGCCAACAAGTCCGGGATGCAAACCGCGGTCGACTACATGGGAGTTCAATGACATAGTCAATACACTAACTGCTGGTCCCTCAGCTACAACTTTATAACATATACCCCCAATCCAAGTTTACTAAAGTAAAAGCAATTATATAGAACGTTTACAGTTTCCTAAAATTTTTTCTCACATAAATTATCCCACTTAATTTTCAAAAGTCTTTCAGAGATAAAAAAAAATACATATATACTTATATCCCTATGTTATAACATTAATCAGATTGACTTTTTTTTTAAAGCACTTTATTTGAGTGAAGGGTTTTTTTTTTTTTTTCTTTTTTTTTGAGGTTTTTGCTATAGGGCACGTGGGCTTGCCAGACAGAGAGAGACACAGAGACAGAAAGCGAGAAATC